TAACCGCATCAAATTTGGTAGAGGCTAATCAAAGAGTGGCGAGGTGAGTAAAACAGGGATCATAACGATCTTTACCGCCATTATTTTTTCTAAGAAGACCTGTCAAAATTAGGGTCAAGTCATGGTTTTGGTTAGAAAGTCACTTGATGTTTGCATCGCTACACCTTCGCCTTGTGGACTGACCGCCAGACCATTCCAATGGGCTCTACTTGAATGGAAGTCAGAGAAGGCAATAATGGGGGGCAGAGAAAAACAAACGCGGCTCCAAGAGACATTCGCCCTCATTTCTATCCCTAAAAAACCAACTTCAGAACGATATGACAGGCGCATGTGCTACTGACGATTTCCTCACTTCCTCATTCCACAAACGCCGTTTGGGGACGATGGAAGGGAACCCATAAAAAAAACTGGACTGAGCTATGCTTAATTTTGTCCTCACATTTGGTTTGGTGTTTCCACGAGTGGTCGTGCGCATGCATGATGGCCACCACATTCCACTATTCGGTGAAGGCGCAGTTGAACGCCCTCTCAGGTACGTGCTACTCCGACAAATGACGAGTCATAGCTTCGAAGGAATGGTCGTTGGAGGCGATCGCTAGATTTTCCTTCTGTAAAGCATTGCCTGCGCTACAGACGTGTTCACTTGTGATTGCTGACTACTCACAAGTGGAATGGACCTAAAGATTCTGTGACGGCTGTTGCTCCAACGTTGAGCATGGAGGTGTTTGTAGAAACGGAGAACAGTAAACAGTAAAGCATCGATGCCTTTGTGTTCTTTCACCTTTCGAGAGGCAAAAATGGGTTTGAGGTCAATGTCGCTTCCTTATTAACTGATTTGTAGCCTTGACAAGAATGTCGAGTGGACATACATACATTACTGGCTGAGGGAATACAGATGCGGTTCTTGCTCCTCAGAATAGGTAGCTTCACCTCCAACATCAACTTTAACTTGCGAAGAGACGCCAGACAAATACAATTTTGAGACAAAGGAGAGGCGTTCTGCCATTGGGGATAATAAGGAAGTCCTTCAGACCAAGAAGCAAGTGGTGGGATCTCCTAAATGGTAAGAATTTAGATCGATGGAGAACTGTGCAAAAATCCTCTGTGGTGTTGCACGGAAGACTCATTCATCCACAAGGACAATTGCAAGTCTAACGTTGATCGGGGTGGACGAAGAACGTGGCACAAAATTGATAAAGCTCACTGGAGGACAAATCTTGTCGGACAACAAAGTATAGAATTAGGCCAACAAGTTTATCGCTTTTCCTCCAATTCCCCGTCTCTACAAATTCAACCCTGCCAGCTGCTCTTTACAAGGAATTCCATCGCGCATCCAGCCAACATCAAGTAATTCAAAAATGCTAACAGATTTATGCGAACCTCTAGCATTAAGAGGACTGACGTTCCAACTTTTCCTGGGTCCCAACATTCCAACCGCCTCGTTCTCAGTTTCCGTCAAATGTGGGTGACACTGTGGAACGCTTCATTGCGTTGCGCCGATTAAAATAGCGAAGTACTCCGCTGCGACGTTGAAGGCGCGTAAAGGTACACGTGTGCATACAAGGAGCTGTCCACGCCCAGAGCGATGCAAAAGTAAGCACAGCGGAGGGTTTCACCCTCCAACTAAAACCTTCACGCCACCACCCATCAAGAAGGAATGAAATGACAAAACGCAGTGCGATTTTACAGTTTTTATTTACGAACTTTCTTACGATACCGAAAACAAATATAAGTCCTTGATACAGAGGGCATTACAGAACGCACGCAGATCATAATATAAACAAAATTAACTCCGCTTTCTAGTATAGCAGCAACTTGGAGACAAACACAGCTTCTATTCTTAACTAAGTACGCATTTTATAAAGAGAAGAAGAGAGCAGTATAATAATGGTAGCAATGCATAACAGATGAATGGCTTTAAGCAGTAGCTGACACGAGAATATCACGGGATACGTAGCCTGTCGGCCGTCGCCGTTGGTTATAAATACTGCGAGTTGCCGACTGGCCAAAGGTCTCAATGTTCAACTGGCGTTCAAGCCGTGCATGAGACATGGAGCCAGCGCTCCCATATCGATTAAATCCTCCTTGCCCACGGTTCCTATCCTGGCTAGGACGCCCACGCTCACTCTTCCCACTGCCGACCGGTCCTCGAGGGCCACCCTCGGAGCGGCTTATCTGGTCGAAGAAGCACTTTTCACGAACGTAGAACTCGCCCCTATGGTTGGACCGATTTAATTGTTATAGTTCCCAAAAATATTTAAAACAATCATGCACTGAAAATGAGGTACCTTGATAAACTCTGCATACCATCGCTATTTGTCGAAGATTCCGTTCCATTGTTAACTATACCTGTAGAGGAGTCCCCCGATGCGCCGCTGTCAGATGCCTTTCCGTTATAATTAATACTAGTTCCTGTTGAGAGACTACCGACCTGACCGTCACCTGAACTTGGGGTATTTTGACCGTCTACACACTCCGAGTTCAAATTTATTTTTGCAAGCTCTACTTTGAGCTCCTCATTGGCAGTTTCAAAATCGTACGGTTTGCTGCAATCGAACTCTATGAAGAAAACGACAAGCAAACTAGAGTAGCTTGGGATGGTAAGCATCAGAAGTTGCAGATTAAAAATCGGGAGGAGTACCTGAGTCAGCTTGTTGATTTGAGATGCCACGCGTGAGTCCACTTCGACGATCATAATTTCGTCGCCTTCCGATACTGCGTAGTCCTTTAAAATTTGACTGTGGTATTATGTTTAGACCGTTTGAGCGATACAAAGACGTTAAATCGGGCGGCAAGTACAATAGCAAACCACCGTTCCTAGTAGGTTGCGTATAAGGGCCTCGGCTTCTACTGTTGCGAGGACCAGGTCGGCGAGTGAAGCGATTTTCTATTGGTGCCTCTCGAATTGGAACAGAGAATGGGCCACGTGTGGGAACTGGTCCTGGGACTGAAGCTGTATTATAGACTATGTAGGCTTGACGTGGAGGTTCAGTATTTCTACCACGGCGGGGATTACCTGCGGGCGGCGGTGGCTTACGATTTGACCTTCTTTCCTTGTTACTATCTTGGGCCGGGACGCTTGGAGCTACAGCTGCTGCTGCTGCTGCTGCTGAATCGCGGTTTACGATCTGAATTTTAATGATGCTTAGTGAGAGCAAGAGGCGAAAACAAAGAAAACAAGGTGGAATTTTGCAAACTCACTATGGGTTTAACAGGCGAAGTATTCTTCTCAGCACCACTGGTCTCTTTAACTGCAACATCCCCAATTTCACTATTCACTTTGGCCTCGTTAAGGACGGATATCTTCTTAATATTTGACACCCAAAAGGTAATCGACTCAAAACGAGTTCCAATTGAGGGAAACTTAGGCGTTTCCTCTTTATCTGCAGGAGATTCGTTAGGTTGACCTTCTTTTCCCATAAACTTGACATTTTTAAGTGTGATGGTCATATCGGCTGAATTAAGGGCAATAACAACGCCTTCGTATTTGTACTGTACACTTGTCACGAGACGCACAGTTGAGCCCATGGTAATTGAGCTGAATTGTGATTGTCGTCGAAGTTCCCTCTCCATAGCCATTCAAGTAAAAAACGATGTTCTTTAAGGTACTCGAGCAATTTCTAGAGATCCGTAGAAGCTCTCTCTCTCACCTCCGACACGAACCGTGTGATTAAGCACACTAACCGCTTCTGCATTCACCGCTTGCGCGATTAGGAGTTCAAATCTTTATCGATAACAACTCACTCGTCAATAAATCGATAAGTTGCACATTTTGCGATCTGGTTGGTCGACGTGAGTTTGCTTCGTCGGTCTGAGCGCAAAATGAGCAACACTCTGCGCCCGAGATTTTACTGAGCCAACATCCAAAGTGAAGAACTTTTTATTTTTAGAGTAAAAATAATTGCAATGCTTAAGAAAAATCTGCTTTAAGGCAGGAAAGAATGTTAATCAATGGAAGCATCGACTTGCTAATGGAATCGGATTCGAAAGTCTTGCGTCATATTAGAAACCCGCTTAGTCTTTGTAGAAGAGATATCCAGTCAAGATTCTAGCATCCCATCTCAAAAACCCACGATTTCTGCTAGAATTGTTTGGCCACAACTAAGAACTCTCACCGTAAAATAGCCGACCTGCGAGCCCCACAGTCTAAGCAGCAAAGAAAATCAAGCCAGCGAAACCTCACCCGATCTTTGCCACTATCACTAGGCAAGATTTCATGAGGCCTAAGCCAAGGAGTAAGTAGACCCAGGGAAACACCCTCAACCATCTAACTCAACGCCCCAAATTCAACAAAAAACACACTAATTCGCAATAAATTTTCCTGTAATGGCATGGTAAGAATAATTATATACAAACAGCACAAGTCTTAACTAAGACTGGGCAGCAGTTAACTGATTGACCATGACGTCAAAGAGATCACGTGCTCGCGAGCAGAGGTGGCTCTGGGGATCGAGATCAGTAGTGAGTGCTAGCAGCTGCGAAGACTGGATGGTGGCTTCATCTGCGGTGAAGGCGGAGCCAGGACGACCGCAATAGACTCCAAAAACGTCGGGTGCACAGTGAATGTTCTCGCTTTCTTTCTTGAGGCGCTTCGCGTCTGAAGGCATCCTGGAAGCTAGATTTGAGACATCGAGAGCGACCATAACGGCTGTCAAGAGAAAGTATTACGCATTCAAGCCAAGAAAGGATAATCAAACACTAGGTGCGCGTCGGTTAGGTAAAGAAAAAAATAATAGAATTGAAGAGGTTTACGTCGCAAGCCAGGGTCAATTTCTGAGCTGCAAACTGCCACCACTGAGGCATGAAGAGGTATCGAAGTTGGTAAGAGAGCCAAAGAAAGGGCGTTAACGCAGGCCGCCATAGTAGTTGGGTGTCCAGACAATCCAGATATTATTTGAATTCGAACGCCAAACTAAAGCGAAACCGAAAGCCACATGGAAAGCGATAAATTTCAAATGGGTAAGGTCAATAAATAAGGAAACGACCACAAATTCCTCAACAACACAGGCAAAAAGACATGAATCCGAGTGTTATCAGATAATTTAACCAAGCTCGTGATGAACCAAGCACAAAACACAGACATCAAGAACAACGAGAAAACCGATAATTAACCTGGTTTCTTGGGTAAACCTTGACGTCAATTAGTCGCTCCAAAAAGTTTTGAAGATAAAACTCCATTTCACTCTCAAAAGGTGTGTGAAGGCCAGACACTGGTAAGACAGAAACATCAATATAAGCACGATGCGTTAATTCGTTTGCCATACTGGCTTCCTTGGGACCATAAACCGAAGCCATCACATGAGCGTCTCCAAAAGCCCAAGAAGCTGACCCAGTTGCATTGCAATCAGGATTCAGTTCGACGAAAAGATTCGAGACTTCCATCACGAAATAACACACCCAAAAAGAAACGAGGATTTCTGACCTTGGCAAGTTGTGAAAGTCACCCTAAAAATAGAGTTTTTACCTTGCTCCTACGAGTTAGCAAATCAAAAACAAAACCCAAAAGAATTGTATTTCGCGAAATGTCTTGGCAACTTTTGCTAAGTAACAAGTGCTCGATATGATGAATAATCAAGTGACAAACCTTTTCAAAACGGCACGCATGCTTAAAAGCTTTACCACCCATTAGAGCATATTCACTTACACTGATACCATTTACCAACATCAGTCAATTTTTTTGTACAAAAATAGATTTATCGCACGCACCTAGGGCATTACAAAGCAGCCAATCAAATTGGTGATTGACGGTACTAATTCAAAAGCTTGTTTGGTCATGTTCTGCTCGGCATCCGATGCAAGAGCTGGAAATTCCGATCCCCATGTCATTCATGAAAAGATTTTGCAAGCTGCGAAGAGGTCAGGCGTCATATCCTTAAACGGTCGCGGACTTTCCTACGGTAGCGTGGGTTCAGTTTCTTATTTCTTTGCAACTTTGCCTTCGATTCTCATTTGTTCATAAAGTAATGTTTGCGCTTTTTGAATAGTCCCTTTATTTAAGATTTTCGCCAGCGCACATATTTCCAGATAATTTTAGGCGATTTCCATTTTTCTTGCATCTTATTCCGCTTGAGCACCTAGGCTCATCAGAAGTAAAAGTAGCCTGTTGTGTTATGGCCCTTTCCATGCGGAGAAATAAACCATTGCCTTCATCACTTTAGTCCCACCGGTTATCTGGTCGCTGAATAGTACTCCATCAGAAGGAAAACCTATCAATTTCGAATCAGCCGGTGATGACGATGTTAAGTGGTGGGAGGCTGAACCCATTATTCGACTCAATTTGTTTGGTAATTCAATCAAAGACTTATCTGGAGATGGTATTGCTCAGCTAGACAGTCTTCAAAGCATCGACGTAAGTTGGCTATTTCGAATTGTATTTATGTTTGTTTAATGAAGTCAGTAGGTCAGTGCTTAGTGCTAACGTATGCCGATTCGTGTTAATTCCATTCCTCACGTTTGGAAGATTTAATACCGAAAGTCTTGGTGGCCTGAACACGAATCGTTTGGTTGCATTATTGAGTGTATTCTTTTCTATTGATTTTATTTTTCTGCGTGGAGTCAATGAACCGAATTTATCGGTAGGAATTTTATGGTACAGCTATCGGTCTACATAGTTTTGCACATTTTCATAAGAATTGTCGAAATGGGGAGCTTTGGGTAGCTGCATTAAAGTGCAGTGGAATAGCTAAAGAAATCTAAGTGTAAATTAATTTGAAAGTCGCTCAGCCGGATCTCATTTTGAAATAAACCATTTTCATATCTAAGGAGCGTATTGGTATGACTTCTTTTTGTTAACTTTAAAGAGACACTGTATAACATGGAGGTACTAAGTGTCTGCATTTGCGGT